GGACAAATATTTAAGACTTATTTAGGTGTAAAGAACTCGTGTTTGATCAACTTCCATCATTGCAAGTTGTTAAAGTAATGAAATAAATATATTGGTTTCATTGGAAAGCCAAACCCGGTTCCGGTGAGTGAGTATCTAATGGGATTCGAACTTTTGGTGTTTGTATTGGGCGGTTTTTCATTTACCATGTTTCCTATAACATAATGCAACCACCTCTCCGTTTTATTGTGATTTTGTGAGTGCTTAATGATGTCTTCCTCACCCGTTACGCCATAACCCAGTTTCAACCACACGGCAATTTTGCAACGAAGTGCGTGATTCCACTGATTATATGATCGTTCTGTTCAACTGTTAAGCTGGGATTTATTACCGTTATTATCATTATATTGTCACGTGATTTTTTTACCTTATGTGTAATGTCTTAAGTGTCTTTATTGTAATTTGTATATACCAAATCGTATATACCAACGTAACGTCGTCAATTCGTTTGTAGGTACGGCTTCTGAAACTCTGCCTTGTGTCCTCCCGCGTGCGTGGCCAATCCTCGGATCTGTGACATTGTGCACAACAGAGTACGTTATGCACACATGGGAGGGAACTTTACATAATGGATAACTATTATTACATCTTAAGCTCAATTAGGTGGATTTCTTTAAATGTCAGGTTTCATATTGAGAAGTTGTTCATCCCAAGTTACAATGCAAAATTCTGCCATCAAAATAGTCAAATTTTATCATTTTCTGTGACATTTAGTTAACTTGTTTCCCGGAAAATGGTTCAAAGACGCATCTTCGTTCCAACTTTTGTGTCGTAAAGGCATTAACGAACATTAAGAAGATAATGTTTATTCAACAAGTATTAATTTTACATGGTATTGATAACATCATAAAAATTATAAAAATGAATATATAATAAATTAAGAATATATGAATAACTAAAGTAAAAAAGTATGTTGATTGGGGTGAAAAGGAAATCAGAAAATAGCTTAGAGCTAACTTAAAGGCATTTGGGAACAACACAATAACAAAAAGTAATAACAAATAAAATAAATAAATAATAAGCAAATTATAATAATTTTACAATAAAAATTGTTCGAAAGATGTTTTAATGACTTTTGAGAGAAAATATTTTTTTTTCAAATGGTATACTGTTCATTAATTTGAAACCAGTTGCTATATTAAAATCTTCGTTCCACCCTCAGTGGTCAAAGAAATTGCATTGGTGCCACAATCAGCATATATACCACATGGTATCCCACATTACAAGGCATTTCTTACAAATATAATACCTACTATTCTTTGCTGATTGGTTGACATTCTTGTCAGTAGACTACCCAGACTTTGTGTATACTGGGTATATTTAAATTCAGCAATATATTCTATTAATATACAACAGGAGGTCTGAGTACGTCTCTTGCTGTTGTAAACGAGTGATTGTCCCATCTCGTCTCGTTTATAATAACATAGAAATCCGCTACACATTCAAAATTCTCGATTACACAACATATTTATATACACTAGATGGTTTATTTGAATAATTCAATTAATTAACATTCTTAATTTCCAAATGTACGGAAGCTTCTCAGGACCACGCTTTGTGAAAATTAAAATATATATACATGTATATATCGTTATTACGATGTAGCGAAGTTCGTTTTTTGAGAAAAATAAAATATCTCGTTATTACGACGGAGCGTTTTTCAGCCCTTTCTTTAAGGGCGCGCCTTCTGATACAGCCATTATACAGCAAACCTACGCCCTCTGATACTCTCAGCTTACGTACAATTCATTGGCGTGATCTGCACGATGAAAATAACAAAAGTACACGGCATAGTCACTGATAAAACATAGATGATATAAAATGGCAGAGAAATCAAGTCTCGTTCATTATAGAAAACTTAAAACAAATTTAAAATATTGTGAGAAATATTTAAATTCTTTATTTAACTTCAAGGGCACCCAATTAAAATTCAAGGCAAGATCCTGCACTCTTGGTTTGGCATATGAGAAAAAGAAATGGGCAAACTTGGATAATAATGATTGTATCTGTCCATGTTGCAAACAGGAACCTGAAACACTGGAGCATTTCATATTACATTGTGAATGTTTCTCAGCACAGAGAAAACCCCAATGG